TGATGCTCAGGCAATGTGTGAAGCATTCGGAGGTGACGTTATACCCAACAGTTCGTTGAATGTTGCTCAAATTGCGATCTGTGAATAACATATACGCTCACATCTTTGCGGTTTGATCTGTAGCCGATCTTCGTCAGGTCCGGGGGCGAGTGATTGATCACACTGACACAAAGCACTACAGATCAGTGGTGGTATCTTATTTTAGTCAGCTTCACGGGACTTTGGGCGGATGTGATATGATGCGCAGGCACGTGCTCATGTGCTTAGAGTTGAAAGGATGTAAACCAGACTGGTTAAAACAATATTTATCCGATCCACTCCAAACGTATTTACTGACCAATCATAAGGTTGATTACATGCACTCATTGTAACTTTGAAGCAACCCGTTATCAATTTTATAATACGATATCTACATTCAGTATGAACAACTCATTATCACTAACTATTATCATTATAGTAATAAAGATAAAGATAATAGTGATTGATCCTATCATGCAAAAACTTGTTGTCAAGTGCTACTCACATTTGTGAGTAGCATCATATTGATATTCATAATAAACAACTATGACCGTCCAGGCACCGCCTTGTAGAATCATAAAACAGTGTGACTGGCTTCTCGTCCTCCAATCATCCCAGAACAAACTAGCTGTGAACCACGTTCATCAAATGCATTCTACCGCGCATATCAAACAACCATCTCCTTAAATAGATAATCGACAAATAGGACCAACGACGAATGTTTTCCTTCTCGATTCATTCTATGCGTACAGTGAGTGCTGGTGTATCATAAGGTTTGCTCCCTGCTGTAGAAACCATGCGAATTTAGCACTGGTTTTCGGGAATTATAACCCGAGCCTACTTGAAAGACAAACACTGGGCGGAATAGCGTATGCACAAAACACTCCGAACAGTTTGTAATGTCACAGAAACGGTAATTAATCGACTAAGGTAGGCTCAACCCTTTAAATCCCAGTCGTTCAAGCACACTACACCCAGTCTATGCCGCTTTTCCCATCAAGCTTTAGACGAAACCCGTAATTCTGGAGCATCGACCGTGGTAATACGTCAAATGTTGCAGTATTATTAAAATGACAATAGTAATGGGGATGTATTCTATAGTGAACGATGTTTATTATCCTTGGCATTTTGATGTATCCACATATCAAGAACAGAATTCACCTTAAATGGAGATACGGAACGTTAAGTATTCGCTTTTTTATGGTGTCACTTTTTGATTCAAAGCTTGTGAGTGCGATGTACCGTTTGTTTTACATTTGAGATTTTTACTCACACGAGTATCGCATTTGATACGAAAGCTCTGAAACTGTACGAACTGTCAAATTTGTAACATTCGTTGACCTCAGACTGTTCTGATTCCCCCACAGCGATAGGACTGAGGTTTGTGCTTCGAGACTAAAGCTTGACGAGGACACGTGTATAGTTAGCGGATATTTCGTACCCAATCTAACGTCTAGTTGGAAATTAAACTTACACAGATCTTACCTTGATTAGGTGACAACTTTTCAGACCTCTTTTTTGTAATGTTCGTTTACGTCTGCACAGCTTCTCCCAGTGGACCGAAAAAATTGGGAACATGGAATACAAATTAGCAATATTACGATTAGATTGAAAAGCTGAATTTTACCGAATACCATGAGATACACACTTGTCGGACAGCAGTGCAAATGTGAAAATCATTAAACACATTCCCTCCATGGCATTGGACTCTAAGGTGTTTAGATGCTTCATCGAGCTGAGAAGTGAACGAACTTGTGATTGAGGCAAAGGCAATTTGGAATAGAAGCAAATTCTGATTCCAATTGTTCTGGAGAACCAGTTTAAAAGGGTGTCCTATTTGATGATCATTCCTAAATAAATTGCCAGCAGTGTACAACACAGCTGGTAATTTTGATATAATATTCGATGGGTGAGGATTACACCTCAATAATTCTGTGGTATTGAGATAAATAGAGTACATATTGGCTGCTTTTCTGTGCCAGCATTTGAATGCTTCCGTACGAGAACTTATCGATGGATTCACCATATGGATGGATGAATACAAAGCATCTGGCTGGGGACCCCGATGTCATGGTCACTGATGGTTCGAGACACTGAGCGATATGGCTGAATGTTGCAAATAGTGGCTCTCATTATTCTTGCAACACCAGTCTATATGAATTCTCTATCCTCCGCTTTGATTTTCTCCCGACATTCCAATCTTCATTCTGCTCTTTTATCCAAATGGCCGGCCAAACGTAACCAAAACCGGTACAGGAAAGTGCATGGTCAATGAATGTCGAAAATGAAACCTGGCGAGTAGAACCACTGATAGTTCATTCCACATGTTTTTTTTAGTTCAATATGAACTCTGTAGATATTAGAGTCAGTTTATTGGAATTCTGGTGTGGTTCTAGCTCGATAGGTCATTTACTCCCATCCTCCCACCCTAATAAAGGATACAATCGGGTGTGGGTGGATGGTCACTGTTCCCTTGCACCTTATGAAATACCACCAAGTAATTCAAATAGCCTCTGCTGAAGAAACCCTACTCACTGTCGAGATGTTTTTCCAACAAAGTGAAACAACGAAAAGTCAACATCTGGCGTTGGGAAATACGGCAGTTCACCAAAGGGAGTGGGCGGCAAAACCCTGATTCGAAACCAACCAAGAAGAGGAGTACGAATCACATATACACCTTGCTGGATATAGCAGTGATCACCGGTTCGATTGGGCATCGAATTGTATTGGGTGGATACGTTAGACGTTTAACCCCGCCCGAAGGACGCGCATGATTCGATGAACTTGACACCGACCTCCAATAGATTACGGTCTCCACACACCGCCCGACTATATTACAGGCCAGACCTTGGCTAGTCAAAGGCTCTGGTTGTCAATCGCCTCAGAAAATTCACCTTCCTTGGCCTAGGTAACCTGGCAGTATTCCGCCCACGTGCAAAGCATACAAGTGTTTTTTTTTCACAAAAATTATTGTACGGTGATTTGTTCGGCACACAGTTTGAAATCAGACGTGAGTGAACTAATAATAAATAAATCCTCCCACCACCCACTTGATCGGTACAGTTTATCTTTTTCGGTCAATACAGAGTATTCTGCCACAACCGAAAGACGCGCTTCGATGGTATACTACCACATTCTATTGATCGAGAAGTATCAGGGAGTGATCGGTATCTACCGTCCCATAGCTTCTCGCTCGTGGATTGTAAATGTGGATTAGTTAAACTGTGTTATATCAAGCCAGAAGCACTTCCCCCGAGACACCACGAGAAGAATTCCTGAAGATTTTGATATGAGACGGTTACCCAGAAAAATTCATTGATATCCATGGCAAGCAATCACAAAAGCTTGACCCATCTCTGGATTGGTGATTGTACAGTGGTTTATTTGCTGTCACCGGCGTGCGTTGGACCCTATGATCCGAGGTTCGAACCCCGCCACCACCACCAAACTTGAGCGGTAGGCAGCTTCGTTGTGGTCCGGTTAAATAACACGCCTTACATAGTTCGCCACTCTGATTCCCGGGGCTTGAGTTGCCGATTTCCATCACTGAACAGCAGATCCTCGTGACTATGGAGTTTACCCCGTCTGCTGTTAATTACAAAAATGTGTCTAGGGAAAAACTGCTTCACAAAAGCTGTCGGTGACAAGCTATCCTTCAAGAGTATTCGTCTTCTGAACAGAAGCAACTGTGAACCACGCATTTGTGGTTGATCAACTTAGANTAGACTTATTGAATGAATTGGGGCGAACGTCAACGTACGGGCGATTCGGTTCACCAGCAGTTGCGGTGACGCATACCAACGTCAATTATCGGAGAGAATGACCGAATACATCCAAAAGTGATTGATATAGTCAATGAAGAAATTCACAGCCAATAGTCTGGCTGCCATTAGGAACACGGGTCATCTATTGTAAAACATCTCGTGAAAATCAAACGTATAAATGACACGCTTCTTGTTTCGAACCCTTGTTAGGTAGCCGCAGTGAGTAGCTTTTGGCAATTGGTGAGGCATTATTAATCGAATTGTCATCCCGTTTT